AATGCGTCAATGGAGCCGCCATTTTAGTACAGGGTAGCGCTCCTTTGAAATGAATGCGGGACCAAGCTGCAGTGGAGGACTGTGGCCATCTAGAGCCAGAGAATTACACATATACACATATCTATGATCAGTTGTTTTCTCGGAGGTCAGTATGCAATTTTTTTTTTAATTACGAGACGCATCATTTTACATCACTTTTCTGCATTGATGGATAAGTGATCGCACAGGCATTCCTGACAAAAAGCTTGCGTTTGTGTGTATGGAAATGTACTATTCACCCTCCCTGTTAGATTTGGTTTAATCTGTGTCCTGAAACACACATCCTCTAACTGCTTTCACTTCTCATACTGACGGAGGAAAAGATTCGTTTGTGAATGAATCTCCTTTATGAACGATGTCCTTCACTTAGCCGATAATAATACAAGTTTCTGGCACAGCAGCATCTCGTTGTCATATTTCTTTTGCATTGTTTGCTGATTTTATTCAACAAAACTAGCATAAGCCGAGTGTTTAGTGTGAGTTGCTGCTGCTTTGCCTTTGGGTGAATGCAGTAAGTGACTGTATTACCATCACGTTACCTGTTTAGCACAAAAGTTCAGAACATACAAAAACATAAAAAACTAAATCTTACCCATGAAATGTTCTGCCTTTGTGCTTTGTTTTCTTTGTGTTGCCTGTTACTACACCCATGGACACCGCTAAAGTTCAGCATCTTCACGTAATAACACTGTCTTGACTACTGCGGTTGAATGGCACGTGTCCTGGGAGCACTGTACAAATATGGCCGCGCCATTGACGCATGGTCCGTGTCCCTATGCGATATCTAGTGTATATATCTATGTGCCACACCAATATATCATACGCAGTAAGGTTGGGCAATATCGACCAATTTGGCATCGTACAATGTTTAATGTGAAACATCGCGATGGACGATGGGGTGAATTATTTATGAATAATTAATTAGTTCATAGCGAATTAATTAATTGTAACCTACCGTTTCAGCTACTCTTACCTGCATGGTCTTTGTTTTACTCATAACCAAATCATAAATAATTAAAGTTACAAACAAATTACCACCTGTCAATCTCTTTTATTCGTGGAACTCCGGCATGAATAGGCAGAGTGATCTGTGTCATTATAATGGTGTCCACAAGCTTGGTTGGTAAAAAGGTGCACAACCAACAGTATCTGAGGTTTTCGCTAAAATTACTTAGTACAAGCGTGAAAGCGAAAGATTGAAGCAGTGTACTGACGCTGTGACACAGTACCCGATAGATTTAAAAGCCCTAAGAGTCGTTAGATAGAGACAAGATGAATTAAATATCACGTTTAACAACTATAATGAGATGCGATCCAGCAGCACATCCTTGATAAACTGTCCGACGTGCACTGCTCTCTGGGGTTTTGTGCCTAAAGGCTGATTTATACTTCTGCGTCAAACACCGGCGTATGCTACGGCGCTGACGCATAGCCCTTCGCTGTGGCCGTCGGCGTCGCTGACGTGCACCTCTCAAAAAATGTAACTACACGTCGCAACAACTCATAGCGCAAGCTCTGTGATTGGTCGGCTTGGTATCGCTGACGAGTCTGGGCGGGACCGAGAGCCGCATAAATGGTGCGAGCCTGATGAAGCGATTGTTTACAAGTGTGGAGTCCCGTGAAGGAGCTCCGAATGGAAAGTTATGTTTTGTGTTTACCTCATAGTTAAAGTTGTTGCACGTCCGCCAGTTCCTGCCTCAAGATGAGCGAGTTTGAGCCACTTGTACATCCCGGAAGTGTTCAGGAAAACAAAACAGCAGTGAAGAAACTCGACACAGAGGAACATTTACACCTCACTGCCAACTAGCGTTTCGGAAGTGTTAATGCAGACCAACAGAGTCAGCGTGCAGAAGTATACATGCACAGCTACACGCGTTGCATGCTCCGTGGGTTACGCCAGTCACTTGACGCAGAGGTATAAACCAGGCTTAAGGCACCCACTGACTGCTGCAGCGAATGACTGTTTTTGTGTGTGTGGTCATGTGATGTGGGTTTTCAGCAGTAGAGTGTGGAAGTAGAGCTTTTTTTAAATGCCAGTGTGGACGTGGATCAATTTAATCCTAAAATGTCATTTTAAAACTAAGATGTATTAGTGTAAATGTGGTCTAAGTGTGTTTTTCGTGAGCGGGTGGCTGCTGCGACGGGGCGGAGGATTGCGATGCCGGCTCAGCATTGCGATGTCTGTCGACCCAACCCTAATTCGCAGGGCTTAATTTAGGCACCTCATCCTTTACCCCGATCTGTTCTGGGACCTCGAAATTTACAAATTAATCACTGATACAAAAAATAGATATCATGACAGGCCTAATGTGTTCCTGCTGGTGATGAGAATCAAACCTCTGGCAGACTCCCTAAAAAGTAGGCCACAACTGCCTACATGTAACCCTTCCCAGCAATATTCCTATGAGCTTTTCTTATTTGGTAATGACTCCGATATCTAGTGAAGTGTACTTTTTTTCCTCGATATCCATCACACTTTAAATATAGCCACTGTTATTTTATATATAAGTATTACAGCTCTAAATACTAATTGAACACACTTTTTTCGTTTTAGTGAGGAGAAAGCCACAAGTAGTGCAGCAGCAGAACGGTCACCGAGCCCCGAGTCTACAGCGAACCGTAGAGAGAGTGAGGCCGAATCCCACAGCGATGATGATCAGGTGGATGTCAAACCTGCGTTCTCTAAAACCACCGCCAACAACCACGCAAAACGCCAATACAGACAAAAATCCCCCCTTTCAGACAGTGATGATGGTGATGAGAGGGAACGAGAGAGAAAGGAGATTAAAGAAAAGAGTCATAAAGACAGAGACCGGGACAGAGCAAAGGAAAAAGAAAGAGAGAGGATGAGGGACAAAGACAAGCACAGTCATAGAAAGGAGGACAGAGGTGGTGATCGCAGGAGAGAACGAGACAGAGAAGAGGACAGAGCACGAGACAGGAGGGACCGGGACAGAGACGACAGACATGGTAAAAGAGACCGAAGAAACAGCAGCCCGAAAGACAGAGAAAGAGACCGCAAAGGAGAACGAGACAGAAGAGATAACAGCCCGAAAGACAGAGAAAGAGACCGCAAAGGAGAACGAGACAGAAGAGATAACAGCCCGAAAGACAGAGAACGAGAGACACGAGACAAAAGCCCGAAAGACAGAAGAGACAAAAGTCCAAAAGACAGAGATCGAGAGAGACGAGACAAAAGCCCGAAGGACAGAGAACCGGAACGTAAAGGAGAGCGGGATATCAGGGAAAGAGAAGACAATAAAGTGGACAGTCAGAGGAAGAACCAGGAGGATGAAAAATCAAGCGAGAGCAAGACTGAACATGGTAAAGAGGAAAAGCTAGTAGAAGAAACTGAAAACAGTAGTGGTGCACAACAGGAAATTAGTAAATTTGCTAAACGCAGCAGTGATCAGACTGTAAGTTCAGCCAGAGAGAGGTACCTGGCACGACAGCTTGCACGTTTTGCTTCGAAGTCATATGTTGAAAAGGAAGAGGATTAGCCTTCAGATATACCTATTTTTCCCCCCACATCACAATGATTTGATTTGCGATGTCAAATGTTTTACAAAGCCAATTTAAAGTGTTGGTGAATGGAGCTTATTGTAAATTTCAATTATTGTCCATCTGTGTGAATTAAATAAATCCATGTCAATCATGGCAAAGTTGGGATCATTTATTTTTGTATATAGGAGCAATTCCTGGCAAGGCAGTGGTGCAGTAGGTAGTGCTGTCGCCTCACAGCAAGAAGGTCGCTGGGTCATTTCTGTGTGGAGTTTGCATGTTCTCCCTGCCTTCGCGTGGGTTTCCCCCACAGTCCAAAGACATACGGTACAGGTGAATTGGCCAAATTGTCCGTAGTGTGTGTGTGGATGTTTCCCAGAGATGGGTTGCGGCTGGAAGGGCATCCGCTGCGTAAAAACTAGCTGGATAAGTTGGCGGTTCATTCCGCTGTGGCGACCCCAGATTAATAAAGGGACTAAGCCGACAAGAAAATGAAAGAATGAGCAATTCCATGCAAATGTCATCCTTGCCATGAAAAAAAAGTTAGGTTTTCCCAAAATATAAAAAAAAATTGATATTGGAAAAAAGTCATTTCAATATGTTAACATAAACTTTCTATGTTAATTGATGTTTGAAGATTATTGCAAACGTCATCCATAATGCTGGAATTGTTCATATATGTATAATATATATATATATATATATATGTATAATATATATATATATGCATGTGTGTGTGTGTGTATATATACACACATATATATGGATATATATGGATATATATGGATATATATATATAGATATATATATATATAGATATATATAGATATATAGATATATATATATATATATATAGATATATATATAGATATATCAATATATAGATATATATAGATATATATATATAGATATAGATATATATATACCCACACGCATACAAATACAAGATTTCAGTAGTTTGGTCAGACTTGCACGAGTCACAGGTGTCAAGCTCAGTTCCTTGAGGGCCACAGCTCTGTAGTTTAGCTTAAACCCTAATTAAACATAACCAATCAATATGATTAAGTCCTTGAGGCTGGTTTTAAACCTTCAGGTTATCGTTTAAGCAGGGCTGCAGCTCTTTTAGAATAGTTTGACACCCCTGCTCGAAGCCTGATTTGAGTTACTTAATTTTAAATCTGCACACTGAACATCATGCAAACAGCAAAGTACATGTCAAGTATTAACTCATTCTCTATTAAAGATGGATGTTGAGGGGAAACAAACATTGTTATCCATGGTATTAGTTTCACCTATGATTTTTACAGGCTGCTTCTCTCCCCCTAAATACTTCAACATATAGTTCCACATACAAAAACCCAAAATATGACAATTTAGGAATAAATCACTTTAAATTGTTTAACATTATACCACATGAAAACGTTTAATAGCATTAAAGTGTAAATAAGGACACTATTGGATTCAATCAAAAAATTTATTGGGTTTAAGAGGTTTAAAAAGTGCAAGTATCATGAAAACGGAGGTTCACTGAAGAGGCGGCAGCTTCGGACGTCCAAGGTAAATGCGGTTGATCTCCGTCTGTGGAGCAAAAAAAAGACTCAATGTTAGACGTTTTGCAGGCCGTTTTTCCACTCAAGTTAATCAGTTTTTGATTCATGTCAGAAAACCGATTATCACCACTGATCAATCTGACGGTAATTCCAGCTATTATCAGTTTAGGTTTCATCATATTTAATCAACGGAGCTCAAAATAAGTAGTTATTTCTTTGCAACTCACCATTAACGTTAATTCGTGAAGCCCTCGAGAAATACCTACAAAAGAAACAAGATTGTTAAGGAACTGCCCAAAATGTCGTTGGCACTTCTTCTACATTAAGCGTGCTCAGAAAACCGATCATCACCACTGAACCATCTGACGGTAATTCCAGCTATTTTCAGTTTAAGTTTCATCACAACACATCACAGAACGACTGTATTGTTGTATGGCTCTTTATTGCTTACCGGAGCTTTTGTTTCTGAATCCTGTCAAGACGTGTTCCCCTCGTGTTTTTACTGAACAGAAAGGACTTCTCCGCGTGCGCCTAGCGGTTTATGTACTCGTCGCTCAGTGACGTAATCATGTCGTGTTCTTCTTGTATTTGAGCACTCCGCGCGATCGGCTCATTTCTGCCAACTACTGGATTCACCGAAAACATACAACTCTAGACTGGTTCCCTCAGGTTTAATCCAGCACACACCATAATATTTATGTAGCGATTTGTGTTATGCAATGAGGCAGTGGCTTTCATATAACCATAAGCAACATGAGCCATACAGCCACACAAAAACACAAAAATACTAATATTACTTCTGTGTGTGTGTGTATGATGCTGTTACCTTTACCTATATATTTACATTTAGTCATTTAGCAGACGCTTTTATCCAAAGCGACTTACAAATGAGGACAAGGAAGCCATTTACACAACTATAAGAGCAACAATGAATAAGTGCTGTAGGCAAGTTTCAGGTGTGTAAAGAAGCAAAGCATTAGTAATGTAGGTGTTTTTTTTTTTTTTGAGTACAGTTAGTGGTATAGCCAGAGAGGCAATTGCAGATTTGGAAGGAAAGTGGAGACTAAATAGTTGAGTTTTTAGTCGTTTCTTGAAGACAGCGAGTGACTGCCTTTCTGGAGGGCACAAAACACATACACACACACTCAGCTAACCATAAATGAGTACACCCCACAGATCTCTCTTTTAAAGTATGCACATTGTATTAGTTACTTTACCGAAAAAAACAGCTTAAACCAGCTTAGGCAGGTTGGCTGGTTTTAGAGGGGTTTTGGCCACTTCCAGGCTGGTTTCCAACCATTTCCAGCCTGGTCTTAGCTCAGCCAAGCTGGGATTCCAGCCAAAACCAGCTATATCCAGCCTAAACCAGGCTGGTCAAGCTGGTTTTAGCTGGATTTAGCTAGTCATTTTCCAGCCTGACCAGCTAAGACCAGGCTGGAAATGGCTGGAAACCAGCCTGGAAATGGCTAAAACCCCTCTAAAACCAGGCTGGTCGACCAGCTAAAACCAGCCAACCAGCCTAGGCTGGTTTAAGTTGGAATTTTCAGCAGGGGGATCATGGAGACCTTGGCATGATTTCCCCACAGGTCTTGGAATGCATCAATGGCGCAGCATAATCGCTAGGGGCCTCGGGATGAGAATCCCCAGGTGGAAAAGAGAATAAAGAAAATAATTAGCCAAGCTGCAATGAAGTGCTATAAATGAAAGTAGTAGTTATATAGACAAAATGTCTGGTGAATTATGACAGGACTGTGTTTTACAGGTGGTTGTCAAGCCAGCTCACCTTAGTGAAGCATACTCATTCATCCTACCGTTATGTGATGCATTGTGTTTATGGATACTGGTAATTTATTTAATTAGGGTATTAAATAAGGTATTCCAGCACAGTGTGTGTGTTTCAGAGTGTCTAAAAGAGTGTTATTTTAAGCATGCTGATTGATTGAAATAGAAAATAAATATTTTCTTAAAATATTAACACGTGAATGTAATTTTATGAATCGAAAGATATGGAGGGTAAAGTATATTGTTTTATTATTTTAAAATATGTTTTAGAAATTGTCTAAAACGTGTTTGCAGAAATTCTAAATATGCAAAATATACAAAAATGGGCAATAACTTGCTAAATGATATGTATTTTTAAATATACCTATGCAATATGGCCATTTTTCAATGTTTTGCAATATTTTGCGAAGTATTTTTGAAAATATATTTTTACCCTATGCATGCACTGAAGTCATACCAACACAACTCTGTTCAAAATACGTTTCCATGTTGGGATTTTGGCATTACGAAGACGTCGTCGTTAGTAATGAAATAAAGGTACGAATACAAACAATAAAAGCTTTTAATTACTAAGCATTTGCACAAAAACATCCGCCATGTGAATGCATTACAGGAAAAGACTACGCGGAAGGGATAAACACGTGATGCGTGATGACGCCACAGAGGTCTAAAATACGACGCGAATTGCTATCTGTTAGCTTGCTACGTTGTTTCCCTCCATCAACACTGAGCAGAGACGGAAAGTTAGCAACACCGGATTCACGTTTGCCACAAATACCCAGCGAATAACTCTTTTACAGGACGTTTGATCGAGTGATCCACGAAAAATAAACGGTAAGGCTAATTTTGGCTTTTTGTTGGATTAATTGTGTTTCAAACCCGATTGTTAGCAAGTTAGCTTTTTTGTAGCGAGCCATGTGAATTTAAAATCAGAAACTTTGCGCTTGTCTTTTTCACGTCTTTGTGGTGGATTTAAAACAGAGATGTTTTAAAGATGTTACATTCTGAATTGATTAAAGTCAGCTCGTTGAAGCTTTAAATTATTATTTGAGTGCTAAAACTTTTATGTAAGCGCATGACGGCCACCTTTCGTTTTGCGCTTCTAGCTGCACTTGTCCGCGTTGACTGGTTCTCTCAGGTTTAATCCGGCACAAACCAAAATATTTATGTAGTGAGCAGTGCTGTGGCATTTGGATATTCATCATAAAGCCATAAAATACGGACTAACATTGTCATAGGCCGTATGTCCAGTGGCACACGACATTTCTGGCGCCCTCACGTTGCCAATAGACATCAAATGATAAACATGAACCATAAAAACATGACAAGTTATTTTTATCTGAAACTTGGCTCCTTTATCTTGTTAACACTTTATATGTAACTGACATATGATAAGTATGTTTCTGCATTTGAGCTTTCCTGTTTCTCACGAAAGCTAATTTTATTCAGTATGGAAATGTCAATTATGCAAATTGAAGCACTGCTTATGTGTTATACTTTGTATCTCATTGGATACATCGGGTTGTTATGTCTATTGTCGAGTTGTTATTGTGAGAATTTTGACTTATTCTACATGCAGAACTTTTAAAAGGATAAAACTGTATAAAATTTACTGCTATTTATAACTTAAAACAAAAGTAATACTTTGTTTATTGGAATGTTAAATAAGTTAATCAGTCACGATCTTTATAACAAACTGCTTTCATAAACAATTATAAAAATGTTAGTTATCTCTGTTTCTTATTAAATTGTTAATATAGTGTTATTTAAATGTTTAAGTTTATGATTAAGGCTTTTGTAGTTTTCATATTGAGGGATAAAACATAATACATGCAGTCCAATGGTGATGGGTTGATGGATATATTGAAACGTTTCTTAAAAAATAGTTATCAAATAAATGCATATTGAAATAATGAATGTATATTGATATAATACACCAGTAATTTATTGTATTGTATTTTATAAAATAATATGATATATTATTATCTTCTATTAAAAAAAAATATTTTATTTATAAACATCTTAAAAAAAACCTCAACTTAATGTGGACAGCAAATTTTTGACAGCGTAGAGGCCTTAAATTTATTAAATAAATGTGTTTGTTTGTTTTATTAGGTTTGTTCACTAGTTCTGACATTTTTTCTACTGTATATTTTTGCACTAGGGCATCAAAGTCTAAGATTATAGACCAATAGCATAAAGAATGACAGTAAACAAAGCTAGTAATAATAATAGCCATTTAGGTATAGGCATGGGATGATAACTGTTTTCAAGGTATACCGCAGTTTGGATAAGGCAAGGTTTTAAACCCTTTAAAAAAAATTCCGCCATATCATTCCTGCGGTATATGCACTTTTTTTAATTAATATTTTTTTGTATTTTGTTTTAAGTTTTTTTTTTTTTAGGACAACAGTATCTCCAGCAGAAATGATATCCAAAAATGCCATTGTAAATTGTGAAGAAATCTGTGTTTTTGAAACTAATGAAGACGGCAGAAGTTAATAATTCATTTGAATTATTTACCTGACATTTTATTGCTCCAAAACATTTTAAAAGCTTTTCAAAATAAAGTATATTGTGTTAAGAGGGGGAAATTGTTTTTGTTTTTTACCCAGACATTTAAAATCATCATACATTTTATCCAAGGTTATCATACCGTCAGAATCTTATACGGGCCCATGCCTATTTAGGTATATTGAGTAGATTAATAGTTTGTGAATCGCGCTGTTCCTGAAAGTTCTGAAAGTGCTCTTCTTCTGTGCAGACATATGCAGGCTCTATAGCAGTGCAAGATGTTCAACAAATCTTTTGGTGCTCCCTTTGGGGGAGGTACAGGAGGATTTGGGACGTCATCAACTTTTGGGCAACCGAGTAAGTTAATAATGATCTCTCATCCCAGTGGTGTGTTTCGCTTTGAGACATTTAGAGAAATAAAAGTATGAATCGTGTTTTATCTGTCATCAGATTCCGGGTTTGGTGCAACACCAGGGGGCTTTGGATCTTCAGCATTTGGGACAACAAACAACACAGGAGGACTGTTCGGGAACACCCAGAACAAGCCTGGTATGCAGTGTTTTTTATGTGGCAGTAGATGTATGCAGACTCATTGGATGCTCAAGGAATTTGTCACGTTTGTGTTTAAAATGTCAACAGATTTTCATTGAAGAACACATGATCATAGTTTAGATTTAAGATGTTTTACTATTAATTAATTTATTGATACTATTATAAGATGATTCATTCATTTGTTCAGTTTGTACGCAAAGGCAGCCTGCATAAATGCATTGGTATGTTATAAAACCAGTTTTCTCGCATGTTTTAGAGCCGAGTTGAGAAAGCAGAAATAGTTTGCTGTGCATAAAATGTTAAAACTCATTTCACAGTTTACTTTTCCTGATCCAAAATTAAATTACAAACAGTTCTCATCTACACTCCCAATATGTTGTAATACTACCAAAAATGTTGGCCAAGCAGTGTTTCTTTTATTTAATAAAATCAGAGAGACGAATAGAGGCTTGGAACCCTAAATATCCTATAATGTTGCAACAATACAAGAATTTCTAACTTAACTTGAAAATACTCTATACCATTTTCAATACTGTGAGGAAGCCACCCTTCCTCCACAAAATGAATAGTATATTTTTAAAGATAAATAAGGCTGGAATATGAGAGTTAGGTTTGTTATTTTTACATCAACCAAACATCTTGTAGTAGTGCACTTTGTGAAAATTGTGATTGTAACATTCAAGATGCAATAAATTGCCTTCAAACACAAATAAAGTGAAACTTTATACTAGACGTATTCAGCAGCCCTCAAGTCCAAAAGGCATTAAATAACTAGTAACAAATCTAGTACAATTGGTGCAATCTTAGGGTGCTTTCACACCTGTGAATCGATTCAGTTGTTCCGAAACAGAGATTACAATTGTTACATTGTTGCTCTTTGCTCTTGATGCGGTTCGCTTTCACACTGCAAAGTTTCTAATCGGACCAAAAGAGCTGAAACAAGTCACGTGCGAGTGAACTCTCCTCACATTGGTCAGAGTGTCAGGGTTTATTTTGCAGCGTCCCGCTCAGCTGTCAGAAGAGGTGGTGGTTTGGTGGTGATTGACAGGGTGCGCGCGCGACATGTCTGAGGAGAGATGCGGTGGGGAGGGGTAAGAAGGTGCCTATTTGAAGACCGGGAGAGAGACGCGAGATTACCGGGAGATTATCACTCGTTTGCGGGCATCCGGAGACTCGCGAAACTTCCTGCCATACTCATAATTCTCTCTTCATATAGCCGTAAGCCTATTACATATCCATAAAACACTGTGATATAACCGTGCTCGGATGGGATCGCTTTCTCACTGCAATCGAACCGCTCCAGAGTTCGTTTCAATCGAACCGAGACCACCTCATTCAAGCGATCTCGGAGCGATTACTTTGGCGCGGAACAGAGCGCGATTGCCCTGTTCACATATGCCAAACGAACCGCGCTAACTGGGCAATCGAGACACGTTTCGAAACAAAAGTGTAGGTGTGAAAGCACCCTTAAATAGTCGTCTTATTTTCTGAACTGAAACTGAAAGTTACATCATCAGTGTGGCAAAATTGTGGCCTTTACCTGAATGAAAAGCCAATTTAAATAAGCCAATATTCGACATGAGACCTCATTCAATGCATGGCTGCATCTCACTGTCATCCAGCAATCGAAGCGCAGAGTGCAGTGCCCTTACTTGCAGTTTGTGTGAACTGTTGAGAGAGAGTGCGAGACAGCGTGTATCGATACTAACCAAGAGCAAGATTGAATCATTTTCAATGTGCCAATATGGATACTTGTCCAAATATGAATATTTTAGACCAGTGCTTCTCAACTGGTCGGTCGCGACCTAAAAGTGGGTCGTGGGAACATTCTTAGTGGGTCGCGGAGTGTGTGATCATAAGTTTAATTTTTAACTTATTTTGCTAATATCAGACTTTTATTTTGAAATGCGGGTGCGACAACCGTACTGTTTGACATGTGAAATTTCAGCGCAAGTACAACTCTGAATATGAAAATTGTGGATTTACATGTATTGACGACAAAAAAGGCTTAAAACCTCAGTGTGTTATATGTAGTGAGGTGCTCTCACAAGAGAGCACAAAACCTTCTAAATTAAAACGACATCAAGAAAGCAAACATCCCAGTTGCAAGGACAAACCTGTGGACTATTTTCAAAGACGACTCCAACAGTTGAGGGCATCACAAAAGTGCCGAACATCTTCATGTTTAAAACAAGTACAGGCATTCTGCGCATCTTACTGTGCTCACCGTGTAGCCAAGGCCAAGGAGCCCACACAAAAGCAAAAGAGCAAATAACTGGTGATTATTATAAAAATGGTTATGATTATTTTAATCATTTTACTTTAATTTGCTGGTTTGTTCAGTTCAACCGGATCAGTGTTAATGTTTTAGAAACAGTTCAGTTTAATGGTAACTTAACTTTTCCTCACCATAACCACTGTTTACAGTATTTGACGTTTTTACTTTGTAATATTTCTATAATTTGATACATTTTGTTAAATGACAGCTAGAGCTGCACGATTCTGGCTAAAATGAGAATCGCAATTTTTATTTTTATTTTTTTATTTTTTTGCTTAAACTAAAGATCATGATTTTCTCACGATTCTGTAGATGTAAATTAAAGGTATGGTAAAAACAAACATATGGCACAACATCAATAATAATATTATGTGTAGGTCTACTGGTTTCTATAAATAATTCTATTCTATATTTATCTATTATTATAATAATTCTGATGTTGAATTATTATGTTTGAGATATATGCTTGCAATCTGTTATGTAAGACAATTTTTTTTCACTGGTAAAATCAGACATTTGCCATTATCAGATTATATTCAACAATATATAGGCTAGAGTAGTTATACTGACACTGCAAACATTTATTTTCATGCGCAACTGTGGGTTCGCTATGAAAGAAAAAACATCAAATGCTTGTCCTAATGATAACTCTAAAATGTGTTATGATCATTTAAATGAAGTGCACACTTTCGTTTCGTTTTGACAGCTAAGTGCTCGTTCATACTTTGTGCGCGGCTCCCAAACGATCAGTCTGTGCCACAAACAGAATATTATTTAAAACATTACCTGTTACTTGCAACATATGCAGGTTCTGTTCACTAAAGTAGACGTGCGTGCGTCTGTTATTAGGTAGAGCGCGCGCGCCCTCTCTGTGATAACAGCTAACATTCAGAAGCTCACGTCACGTGTGATTTCCAGATCACGAAAACATCATTATATGAAGACAAAAATGACATTTTTAGGTGAATTATACCTTGTAAGTACACTAAGTGACTCATTCAACATCATTTGGAGTGGTCAATGTCACTGAGCAACGTGTGTGAAACAATGAAAAGACTCGTGCAGCCGTCTTTTCTTCTCTCCTGAACTGAAATATGTTTGGCAGAATCGTAGAAATGCTGGATTAAGATCATCTAGGGGGTCGAATCGAGATCGTGATCTTTTAACGATTAATTGTGGAGCTCTAATGACAGCAGTAAAATATTGTTTATTTGTAAGTCTTGGTGATTTTCCTATGATTTATCTGCCACTACTTGTGTATGTTAACAAATAAATACAAATGAATTATAATTCCTAAAATATATATTATAGTTTCTAAAAATTTGTTTCGCGGCTTGATGACCATGTAAAAATGTGTGTCCCATGGCCAAACCAGTTGAGAACCCCTGTTTTAGACGACACTAGTTTCTTTAAGGAAAATACTCCTTGGAACAACAGATGCGGACAGATGACAACACCTGCGATTATTGCTGTAGACTTCAAAACGCTATTAATGACAGATTTGATCAGATATTCTGATTCTTATCAGTTGTAATGTTTCAGCACTCTGTGCTGAGGAATTATAGGCCGCTAGTTTTTTGAGGTTGTTGGCATTTGTTCAGCATCATGTTTGCTAATTGAACATGCCGAGTTGTCACTTGTTTTGTTGAAGAATTACTGAGAAATGAGGTGCCGAATGCTGAGGATTGTCTATGTTTGTTATTGTCATGTGAATTGGGCTTTACTTTTTGCAATTCAACTTGAGTGGAGAGGTGTTGACTGTATTGGAACAAAATGAATGTTTGCTGTAGAGTGAGTCATCTCAGAAGTGAGTTTGTGGATGATGAGCAAATCAAAAATGTGACTCACTGAAAAGGCTAAGAATTAGTGATTCAAGGGTGGTTTTCATCTCTTGTATATAACATTCTTGTAGAACACCATATAAGATCAGAGTGGTCCCAAAAAAAGCTTGTATTTTTCTTGAAATATTACTTTTTGTCTTGAAGGTGGTCTCTTTGGGTCAAGCACGTTCAGTCAGCCTGTTACATCCTCCACCAGTAGTGGCTTTGGGTTTGGTGCCACCAGCGGAACATCAAACAGCCTTTTCGGAAGCACCAACACCGGAGGTGGAGGACTGTTTTCCCAGCAGAATAATGCATTTGGAGCCAACAAACCAGCCGCTTTTGGCAGTAAGTTTCCTGCAGCATGTCAGTGCAGATAGAACATTTTTGACTTGTGGGGAAAAGGGTCTGGGATGCGTCCAACCTGAATAACTGTTTGAATTGCCTTACAGATTTTGGAACAAGCACCAGTAGTGGTGGATTGTTTGGAACAACCAACACAGCATCCAACCCTTTTGGAGGAACATCAGGATCTTTGTTTGGGTCATCAAGTTTCACCGCTGCACCTCCTGGCACAACCATTAAATTCAATGTTCGTCTAGACCTGATTCAAATGTTTTTGTTTGTTCTCTTCACACTCTTTATAGACCTACTTGGTTTTTTATACTTCATATTGAATCTCTTTTTGTTGTTTTGTTACAGCCACCTACAGGGAGTGATACAATGGTAAAAGGAGGTGTGACAACCAGCATCAACACCAAACACCAGTGCATCACTGCCATGAAGGAATATGAAAACAAATCTTTAGAGGTAAGATGGATTTTCATTTAGAGCAGTGGTTCCCAACCTTTTTCTAACTGCGGACTGGTCAACGCTTGACAATTGTACTGCGCACCGGGGGGTTTAAATAATAATAATAAACGTGAATCCATTGTACTGTTATGGAACTTTATTAGCACATTGCTCTAACATTACAATGCTATTATAACATTAGAAAGTAATAACTTTATTAACACATTGCTCCAACAATGTAACATATTATAACATCAAAAACTGTCCGTAACAAATACCTGCAATATTGGGAGAAATGGATTGTACTTATGCCTTTACAGAGTGCAATCTGATTTATAGATGTATTTGTTCATGTGACCTGTCAACCGTTCATTTAAGTTCTGGTGTTTTATTGTATTATTTACTTAATTTTATTTATTTATTTATTTTTTTTAACCTACTTTTTCCCCCCTTGTTTAATTTATTTATTTATTTTTTCTTCTCTCCTTAAAAGAAATAAAAATAAAGTAAAAAACAAAAAAAAAAACTGTCCATAACACAATCAATGGGAGCCCTGAGCTTGTTTCTTTGCAACGAGATGGTCCCAAGTCAAAAGCCCCTTTCAACCATACAGACCTTTCCGGAAAATTACCAGCAATTTTCCGGAAAGGTGTGTATGTGTGAACAGGGCCTTTTTAAAAATACTGGTAAATTCATTCTGGCTATTTATTTCCCGGAAAGAGAAGTTGTAACATTACTGGTAATTTGCCGAAACGCTGTGCTGTGTAAACGCAGATGGAAAATTGCCTGAAAAAGCGCTTGCACGTCTAGAACGTGCTGCCGTGAGACGTCCGCTTTAGCCACTCAGAACAGTCAGACGCATACACGTCTGCGCGGTTTATAAGAATAAAAGCCTTTGAATATTTTTCCAGACACATTTAGCTGCTAGAAATTAATCAGATAACGTTTATATGTTCATCTTAATACCAACCGTTTAAATAATTGTCGATAAGATGCTTATGATAAGCCGTTGTT